GTCTTTTTTGGGGGGCGCGCCTGGTACCCAGACGGAGATGCAGGAACAATCCCTAAACAGCAACATGCTGCAACACAACCTAGCCATCAGACCTCCCTAGACCCAGAGCACACCGTAGAGAACAAACCCAACGTCCCATATACGCCCTACGCCGAGGTCTTCGAGTGTGACTAAACCGGAAGCCAGAGAAAGAACTCTGAACCCTAAACCCTGAGCCCTAAACCCTAAACCCTAAACCGTTCGTGGGCTTTTCGACAACAATCGCCACGCCAGGGCTGGGCTGGAAGAGTCTACCAGTATCGCTATCGATGAGGTAGCCGCCTCCTCAAATCCTGTTGGGTTTAGGGTTTAAGGTTTGGGGTTTAGGGTTTTTGGTTTAGGGTTTCCGGTTTCGCGTTTAGGGTTTAGGGTTTAGAGTTTCGTGTTTAAGGTTTAAGGGCTTAGAGTTTAAGGTTTGAGGGTTTGGGTTTAAGCCTTGAGGGTTTAGGGTGAGGGTTAAGGGTTTAGGGTTTAACGGTTTGTTGTCAAGGGTTTCGTACGAAGGAAATTCCTGGGGATGGGTACCCGGGATAGGGTTTATGCTTAAATGAGGGAGTTGGGTGGCTTGATTTAAAGTCCTTCTGGCAAACTCTTAAGGGTTCCTGTTGGTTTAGAGTTTAGGGTTTGGAGGAAATACTGGTAATTTTGGGAACAGGAACCACCTCCCAGTTTCCTAATTCCCTGGGCAGCCCTTTGGTTTCAAGTTGGAGGGGCCTCGAGTTCGTGCGTGTGTGTGTGCGAGCGTGCGCGTGAGCGCGAGCCTGCGTGCGTGCGGGCGTTCGCGCGCACGCACGCGTGTGCGTGTGCGTGTGCGCGTGCGTGTGCGCGTGCCTGTGCGCGTGCGTGTGCGTGTGCAAGTGCATGTGCGTGTGGGGTTGGTTGGGGTTATGGGGTTTCATAGGGTTTATGGGGTTTTACATGGTTTATTGGGGTTTGCAGGCTTTTTGGGGCTCATAGAGTTTACAGGGTTTATGGCGTTTGTAAGGTTTATAG